CCTGTGGTATTAAGTTAGTGCCTAGGATTCAAATAACAGTAAAGAAACGCTTGTACTCTTAACTACACTTTCATTATCAGTCTTATCTGGTAAATAATATGCTTACTGTTCAGTTTATCCGCGTGTGTTATAAGTTGTATCCGAATTCTCTGCCTATGTAATTTTAAATAAAGCGATACAAAGTATCACCACCGCGTCTGATTCCAAATATACGACTTTATAAAATGCAAAAATTTTGAAGGACTGTCTTACAACTTTCACCTTACGTAACACTAATAAAATCTTTAGAGGGGTGGCAGTGTTTCGTAGCTGTGTACATTTCTGGCGATGTATGGTACTCAAAACTATATTTACTAGCGAACTCGTGTGTCTATGGCCCACGTTTACAGGGCCACTGTAATATTTTGCACTTTACAGTTTAATTATCATCGACGCTATAATGTAAATTTAGTTTCTTTAACCAAGAAAGCTTCAACATTTTTAATATAATAACAATAAAAATGTTTTTATAATATAAATTATGCCAGAAGAAGAAAGGACAGAATTTAGGGCAGAACATAAAAGTTTACGAACTTAAAACGCTAAAATCCAGGATTTGTTTCCCCAAATTTTGTTCACCATTTATCCATCCAGATTAAAAGATTACCGCTAGATTTGTGATTCTCTGGGATTATCAGTATTCAAAATTTAAACAGCTTTCAGTGGATAATAAGAAAAACAAAATTTTTGTTTTAAGATGGATTATTATTATTTTTTTTTACAGGAATCACTCCTTCTGTATGTGACATTGAACAGGCTATTAACGAGACTACATCATGCTCGAGACAGTTCAAACGGTCCATGACAGACAAAGAGGCCGTGATAAAAGAAAATCCAGAAAGTGTTTGCTGGTGAGTTTAACGTGAAATAAAAATTTCCTACGTAAGCCCCTCTCGGCCAATAATGTTTCTGTTACGAGATGTTTTTCCCCTAATTTGGCCATTTGGGTTAATGGTCTTGTCGCGTGTTCCTGATTATTCTTCATCTTGCTATTAATTCATTGAAAACTGTACGTCAGGATGTGGACAGCGTCCATCTCACCTATCTTTTCGTAGAATATTTAGGTGTTGTCAGGTGAGGGCTACTGGATTCATTATGTTGAGAATCTTAAAATAGGAACAGTCATTTCATAGGGGACAAGCGTGAAGCTGGTTTGGAATGGGGTGGATTTCAAAATATTTGTGACAAGCAAAAGTACCCGTCCCCAGTGATGGCAAAAGTTTATATACAAGATGGTTAAATCCGAGCTCTAGTCATGTTCCCTTAAGTCCGCACTCTTGTGTTCGTGATATTCAAAAAGGTGGGTCAGGGAGTAAAAGTGTTCTATCGATTTTTATCGCTTGCGTCTTTAGAAATTGTCAAATCCCTAGCGGAATATCGAGCTGACCCTCTATTTTAAGAGATAAGAATTTGTAGACGCAAAGGATAAGCAACAGAAACTTTAGTAAAAAGCTCAATCTTTGAAAATTGCATTACAATATTATTAATTGTGTAATGATTTTTCTAAATTTGTGATTGACAATTTTAATTTATAGTTTATAAAAGATTGAACGATAAGTTATAGTGGTCCATGTGGAGCTAACATCGAGTCCCCTTGTAATGGCACGACGTAGGAGTAACGAATAGTCGGACTTCGAGAGTGATCTGGTATAATCGTTAGAGTGACCACACCGTAAAACAGAAAGCACATGATTCGCCTCTTGTTACCAAAGTAACGTTTTCCTGACTTTGGGACTGTGAGATCGTCATATGCGTGACGTTCAAATCCTACTATTCAATCAGAAGGGAGTGGCCCAAGAGTTGGCTTTTGGGTCCTGTTCACTAGCTGCCTTCCTTCCAGTCAAAAATAAGAAAGGGGTATGTGAAGATAGAGCTATTGTGTAGCTTTGCTAAACAACCAGTGAAAAGAGTTGATATAAAATAGAACCTAAGTTGCGATTGGTTGCTATCTAATTGTGTATAAATATTGTTTATTTCATAGCCCAAAAGTATTAGACTTTGGTAAGCTAGCAGAAGGTTATAAACATTAACTCGCTCGTAAAGCTCTGATCAGACGTCTGTTAATTTTGTATATTTTCAATGAAACAAAAATAAAGAACTGGCATTGTTATCGCCATCTAGTGGATAAATTGCAAATATTTCTTTTTGAGGTTACTGTCTTCTCGATAACTTGAGAGTGGTTGGGTTTTCTCCATTCTTCCACCGAAAATGGACAGTAATTGTATATAGTATATCACTGATAATATTTTTGTGGGTGCACGTGTTTATTTCTCTATTAGGTTCAATGTTTTGTTGCACATGGAGATAAGGAATAATGATATTTTGGTTACAATTTTAAAAAAATACTAATTTTGAAGAGATTCTATAAAACAATATCTGTTGTGAATTGAGGAGCTAAGTTATTTGGAGAGACTGATCAGATGTGGAAAATTTTCAAAGATAAATTTCTAAATATTCAAGGTAAACTTTAAGGGTAAAAAAATGTTAGGATGAAGTAGGACCCTTGAGGGATGATAAAGGATGATTCGTATCTGATTATTATGAGAAGGGTTATTAGATTTTGCTTTTTCTTCAGTTTTTACTGACGAAGCTTTAAGCAGTATTCCACATCTTGAACAGTTGATAGATGGAGACAGGATCGAACAAGATGACTGCATTAAATTTGAACTTGTTTAAAAAAAATAGGAAGTTTAAAGAACGATAAGGCTTCTGGACCAGATAATATTTCCCCAAGGGTTTGAAGGAGGTTATGGATTGGATAAGTAAGTCACTTGCTACTATTTCTTGTAAGTCCTTGAATAGTGGGCAGTTACCAGAGGATTGGAAGTTAGTTAATGTTACTCCTCCTTTCAAGGGAGGTGATAAAAATTGTCCCAGTAAATATCGGACCATCAGTCTTGCATCAGTTGTGGTAAAAGTTTGGAAAGTCTGATAAAAGATGCATTCAAAAGTCATTTAACAAAGTTTAGAAATTTTATTGGATAGTCAACGTGGTTTCACTAAGGGAAAATATTGCCTTACAAATCTTTTAACATTCTTTGAAAAGGTTACTACTTATGTAGATGAGGGTAAGGGTGTAGATTTGGTGTATCTGGATTTTCTGAAAGCATTTGACAAGGTGCTACATAAGGGATGGAAGAAAGCAGAGGGTTGTTACAAATGGAGTTCAGCCAAACTGGATTAATGTTACAAGTGAGGTACCTCAGGGCTCAGTCTTATGACCTTTGATCTTTTCGATTAACATCCACGACAGATGAAGGAATGATCAATAAATTAATTAAATTTCCAGATGATATTAAGGTCATGGATGTTGCTAGCTGTGAAGAGGATGCTGCTGATTTACACAAAAGGATTTAGATCATTTAGTGAGTTGAGCAAATAAATGGCAATGGGTTATAATTATAATAAATGCAAGATGATGAATGTGGGTTATCATAATTTTAATTGTAAGTGTAATTTGGATGGGAATAACCTGAACAGTGTCATGAAAAAAAGGGATCTTGATGTAGTGGTTGATCAGTCTCTTAAGCCATCCAAGCAGTGTGCTGTTGCTAGTGGTAGGGCAAATAGGATTTTAGGTTGTATCTACAGAAATATTGAATACAAGTCTAAAGAGGTTATAATTCCGATACGGTATCTTACCTTCTCTCACAGAAAGCTTTAACTACTTGTACTGCCCTCTATCGGCGCAAATTTTCGCTTGCCACTAATTTTGTTACTCACGCTTATTACTTCACACTAACTTGCAAATGATCATGCAGCAACCTTCCACCAATAGGAGTGTGACATTACCCCTATTTTAACTAGCCCCTTTCTAATCATGCACATGTTAATCACTTCTCGATTAGCAGTCCACGTGTTTTTCACTCACGGTTAGCCCCCAGTGGCACAGCGGACTATAGCTGCGGACTTACAATGCTAGAAACCGAGTTTTGATACCCGTGGTGGGCAGAGCACAGATAGCCCATCGTGTGGATTTGTGCTTAATGACAAACAAACAAACCCTTGCGATTTAATTAAACTATCCACACGTTTTTACTTTCATGGATTTCTCCTTCAGTTAGTTTGTTATTTTAAGTTTTCGTTCTGTTCCTGGAAGAGTTACAATTTATATTATTTTATCTTCTCTCCTCATTCCATTTAGGGAGTTATGTGGTCACGACCACGACTGCTCTTACTGTGGCAGCATACTTTCATGAAGTGACCGCTTTGGTCCATTGGAAGTTGACCACTTTCATGTTGTAATCAGAACACACTAATGATTGTCCTAACAAGGTTTTCAGTGATCTTTTAGTTTTGAATTTGGACAGCCTCCCACCCCCACCCCGAGTATGCCTCTAAGTCACGTGTCGTTTCGTGGGACTTGGCCAGATCTTTTTCCCCCTTTGGTGGGTTTGTTATTCAGATATGTTATGTTTTGTACTTATCTCCCAGTTCCTATGTTCCATCATTGCCCTTCTAGAATGTTCTGTTCCCACCACCTCCTTTGTCAGGTCAGGCCTCTCTGAGGCTATATGGTACATACTGCTCTCGTCCTTGGTTCCAGAGTCTGTTTGTTTCTTTCATGAAATCCTCACCTTTTCCTGAATGCACAATACCACTCAATTTGAGAGTGGAGCAATAGCGTGACACCCTTAATAACACAGACCTAAGGTACAATTCAGATGCCACCAGGAGTTGGATGTAACATTCTACCATATATATAAACGAAAAATATAAAAATACAGTTTGCCCCTCTGGATGTCTTCCCGGGAATTGGGTGTTGGTCAGAGACATTCCAGCCACATAAGTCCTCAAATGTGTTTGGCTGGTACCCTCTTCGTACCACAAACTGGACGATAAATTCCCAATGCTGCCAGGTTTTTGACCAGAGATGAGCACCCACCTGGGCTCTCCTCCTTCCTACCATCTGCTAGATGTCTGTTCCTGGTGAATCTGGTGTTGGTTGTGTTGGAGGTGCAGAGATGTGGAGACAGGTCCTTGGTATGGGAGCTCCTCTTCCCCGTCAGTACCCGTTTTTGAGGTGAAAGGTAGAGGACCCTCTTCCTACTGTGGACTTGATGTACAATTCCGGATGCTGCCAGGTGTTAATTGAGGTTGAACTCCCATTTACAGTCTGTCACACCCTAGCCACTCTACACACACTATTTCTGTATTTTTGCCCCCCCCCCTCCAAGTTACCACCCTTTACGTGTTGGTGACACATTACTAAAGAACGAAGAGTATATCTGGCTCAGGATTGGTGTGGTCTCCCACTGGTGTGTTGTTTTTAATCCCTTATCACGCCTTATGGTCTTCCGTTGGGCACTTCCTAAAGGGAGATTGCCTTCTCATCGGCCCTCCACCAGTTCAATGTGGGATTCTAGCTTTTTTTGTGAGAGGAGGTAAGATATCGTATCGGAAGTTAACATTTTCCTAAACTGAAAATGTATTTCCTATAGATACTTACCTTTTATCACATTTCCCACCTGTCCTTCCCAGTTCCAGTGTGAATTGGTTTGATTAGTTATGACCAATCTCGAAGTGATTAACATGTGCATGATTTACGCCAGTAGAGGGCAGTACAAGTCGAGAAAGCTTTTTATGAGTGCAATCAAATAAATATCGGAAATATATCTTCAGTTTAGAAAAATGTTAACTTTGATTGTATAGGTCACTGGTTAGGCCACATTTGAAGTATTGTGTTCAGTCCTGGACTCCTTACCTTAGGAAGGACATTGAACTGTTAGAAAGGGTTCAGAAGAGGGTTACTCGAATGGTGCCTGGGATGGAATGGTTGTCATACGAGGAAAGATTGAAATCTCTCAAATTGTTTTCTCTTGAAAAAAGAAGAGCTATAGGGTATCTGATTGATAGGATTAAAATTGTAAAAGGAATTGATAGTGTTGATGCATCATCTTTTTTCATACTTAACAGTAAGAACAGTAGGACTAGGAGATACGAATATAAATTTTGGCAAGGTAGAAATTATCTTCAGGTAAGACAGTTTTATTTTTCTAACAGGATAGTTGGCCTTTGGAATGGGCTGCCTTCTGATGTTGTGGAGGCAGTAAATATAAGTGAGTTTAAGAGAAAGCTTGATAAGTATATGAATGATAAGGGCTGGCTTTAAGATTTTTTAAATTTATTTATTAATAGTTTAGTATAGAGAATGGGACAGTCGAGATGAACCAATAGGTCCCATGTTGTCCCAAAACATTATGTTATGTCCCAAAGTCTCTGATGGGTGTTTCTACTGTGAGCTTCAGATTCTGGTGGGTGGTTCTACTGTGGGCTTCAGATTCTAGTGGGTGGTTCTACTGTGGGCTTCAGATTCTGGTGGGTGGTTCTACTGTGGGTTTCAGATTCTCACAGTAGAACCACCCACTAGAATCTGAAACCCACAGTAGAACCACCCACTAGAATCTGAAGCTCACAGTAGAACCACCCACCAGAATCTGAAACCCACAGTAGAACCACCCACCGCTTCAGATTCTGGTGGGTATACTTGAGACTAGTTCCACAGTAAAGCCACCAACCAGAACCTGAAGCCTACAATAGAGCCATCTACTAGTCTCAAGTATACCCACCAGAATCTGAAGCCTACAATAGAGCCATCTCTTTGTTGTACATAACATATCGATATTTTTTGTTTTTTTGTTCAACAGGAATTTCTGCAAGTTGCACTCGTGTCACGAAGACGCAGTGAAGAATTCAAGTTGTGAAAGAGAAATAGAATATTTTATAGAAAGTAACATTTACGTTGCAAGAGCAATTGTCCAACGGGCCTATAAGGTTAACTGTACGAATTACTCTTGTGTTAACCCTAACACTTCTATGAAAGTTGCAGTATCGCCTGTTTGTTCCATTATTCTATTTTTGGTATTCATCTGTCAGTTCGACTGAAGACCAGGCAACAAACGGACATATCGTTGGAAGTAGCTGCCTTTTTCTATTTCGTTTCTAAAATTTAAAAACAAATGTTTTTGTTTACTGTTGTATTATGCTTATAAACTAATTTAGTTTTTTATGGAAAACATGACAACGTTTCTAATAATATTGCATTGATTTTTAAAGTTTTAATAAAGACTCGTTGAGGATGGTTTGGCTGTCTTTTTTTTTATTTTTTCCATTTGTTTTTGAAAATGATCCGATCTAACCACGTTTTTCGACCCATCAATAATGATGTTATTGTTTGTGATAAAAGGGGCTAACTACCAAACACTGTAACTTAATATACTAAGTTCAAAATACGTTATCAATGCATTGTTTATTTTATTCAAATTTTAATATTTGTTTTACTAGTAGTACATTATTATCACAAATGAATCAGAAAACATCTGATTCAATACGTTCGTCAATGCTTCAATCGTATAACTGAATTTTTTTATACTAAATTGTTTAGTTTTTCGAAATGAGTATTTTACGTATTTCATTCTTTTATTTCTTTATATATATATATATTAAAGTTTTAATCAATGAATTACGTTGTAAAGTTGTAGTTGCTCTGAGTGCCATCTATGGACCGAAATAATGCATAAGGTAAAATCTTGTATCAAACAAACATATATGAAGCTTTTTAATTGGAGTTCTTGTTCTTCTTTTTTTAATTTAGGAGTAAATGAAATATCCGAATAGTTTCCATAAAACGTATTTGAGATATAAATATATGTAGTAAGTTATTACATTTTAAAACTGAATTCAATATTTTTAGTTTCCACTTTACTGAAGCGATTTGCTTTGAGTGCATTTAACACAAACATCGATAAGCTCTCAGCCTGTTTAAACGCTTTCGTTCAATTATCTTTCGTTGTCGCTGGGATTACAAAAAAAAAATCTTGTCGTTGATTAAATATTCATGAGAACAAACAAAATTAACCATTTATGAACATAAATGAAAAAAAATATTCAATTCCCTCTAATAAAGCATTATATATACTAAGCCAAAACTTGCTTCAAAATTAAATTGTCTATCTAACAACATTCATTAATAAAGGAAAATATTAAGTACTGTTCTTATGCAAATAATGTGTGCTTCAAAATTAGATTCTCGGACCGAAGTATAAATAAACATTTGGAAAAGTTTTATCTAACAAACTGTATGAAATCCAAAAAACTGAGAGTGTAAAAAGATTTGTTAAAAGTATCTAAGTAAAACTCTACTAACAATTCGATCACTTCATAATTGTTTTTTCCCTATCAGGACGCCCGCTATCGGTGGATGCTATACGTAATAAATAAAATCCAATACCAACAAAAACATATAACATAAGATATAAGTACTTTTTATTTCTCTACGTTGATATTATTAGCTAAGGTTATCTCTTTGGTGTTTTGTTGTTGTTTTGCGCCCACCTCCCAGGTTTTTTTAAGTATGCATATATGGGCCAGATTCTTTACAGTAGGTGTCTGTGATTTGTTGATGATAAATTTCAACAATAAATGCACAGCACACAATCCACTGATTTTAAAATAATATATTTAAAACAAGTCAAACGCGTGTACAAAAATTCGTTACACTATTGGTTATCACAGTTGTATCCAGAGCTTTAAATAACTGTCTCTTTTACGACAAAAGTCCACACAGGTAGGTTCAGTTATTTTTTTACCTCCTTTAACAAAAATTATTCTCCTCTACTCTGTTATCACAATACAATCAGTGATAAATTCACTTACGTTACATTGTTCGTTACCACATTTGTATCCATAGCTTTAAATAATTCTCTTTTACGTCAAAAGTCTACACAGGCTGGTTCAGTTACTTTAGAGCCCAATTGACAAGTCGAATTATTCTTCTCTGCTCTGTTATTATGATACAATCTGCGATTATTACACTTCAAAAAGTCGCCACTATACACACTTTATGGCTAAACTCACGATCACCCAATCTAACTTCACTTTTAGTTTTATTAACTTATTTACTTGCACTAACTTGGTCTCCTATATGTATATTGCCAGACTGAGGCCTAGAACTTTCCACTACGAGACGTTATGATGTAACAATACTCACTTAAAGCAACGAGAAAAATTCAGAAGTTTGAATTGAACTACACAACAAATGATTTGTAAGCAAACTTGCCATAAATATTGCTTCTAAAAATAACTTACTTTAACATTCGCACTATATAAACTAAATAATACTCTCGTATTAAACTTACAATGAAAGGTTGTATATCTAACAAAGGTTCAAACACTTTGTATCATTGCAAAAAAAAAACCTGCACACATACGTATATTACTGTACGTACGTATCACTGTAATACATCCTGTATATATTATTATACATATACATTAATTAGAATTGAGCTGCACAACAACTGTAATGGTCCAAATGACTGGTCGATTTTCATAATGTTGTCTGGTATACGGTCATTTGATAGATACGTACAAACAAACCACTTAGCGTGTTTTCTTTTACCTGCCTCTGACGTAAGAGTAATAATAATAACTTTGATTTAAAAAAAAAACTTCTCATGCGATGACAATGCAGATAATTTCATTTCAGTACTTAAAGCTACACTTGGTGACATATAAATATAAAGCTATATACTATCCAGTCGTGGACCTCACAAAAAAAATTACCTGAAAGCGTTGAAAGATTTACTTGTTCTGAGGGGTGGTGCGAAGTTCTAGAGAAATGAAGATTGTTATTGGTTTTGTCTTGTTATTTCATTTTGGTAAGTACACAGTTTTCTTTGTATGTATATCGTGTAACTGAAAAGAAAATTTGTTGTTCTGCAAAATAATTAAATAAGTAAGGCATTAATGTAAGTGTTTATGCAAAGTGGGCGCCAGACCTGTAGTAATCTTGGTAAATAAATATTGTCACTAAATATTTTTCTACAGTTTTTTTTTTTATACTGTAATAATTTTGTATGTTTCTTCTTAAGCACAAAGCTAGGCAATAGGCTATATGTGCCGTATCGAAGCAAGAATTTTAGCGTTATAAGCCTTCAGACTTTCCGCTGCGCCACTGAGGGGGGTGGCTACTGTATTATTCAAAACTAAATATTTGAAAATATTCATTTGTGTAATAAAAAGCAAAATGCGACAATACAGCGCGTAGCGCTCTCTATTCATACTACTGATTTTTATTTCTTTATTTTTTCGTAAGTAAAAATAAACTTTGAACAGGATTTAAAGGCAAAGCATGTTAAAGAATTAAAAACTAGAATCACTACAACTAAAACTGAAGTAATAGAGGCAAAGATCATGCTCAAAAACATGTCACGAGTAAGCCTCGAACTTAGAATCTTCTCATTATTTGTCTATAGCACTACAGCCATTGGGTCGACGCTGATCCTCTTTGGTATAATTTCTTAAGGTTATTATTTACTAAAGAATTTATTGTTTATATTTTTTTATACCGAAAACCGCTTGCTGTAATTTGTACAGAATTCACCTTGGCTTTCAGCTTTTCTCGTTAACGCCATCTGTGATAGAAGATTAGATTCTGAAGAAAATCACAAGTGTAGTCAAAAGTTCGCAGAGGATTTAGTGTCTGCTCAACAAGAGGATAATGAGATAGAAAGTTACAGGTTATAGTGTTGGTAAGTGTCACAAACATTGTTACAGGTTACAGTGTTGATAAGTTGTCACAAACATTGTTACAGGTTATAGTGTTGGTAAGTTGTCACAAACATTGTTACAGGTTATAGTGTTGATAAGTGGTCACAAATATTATTAAAGTGTTGATAAGTCGTCACAGAGTATTACAGATTACAGTGCTGATAAACTGTAATATAGTGTTAGATATTCTAGTGATGATAAGTAGTCACAAGTATTGTTATATACACCTGGAAAAAAGTTAAGCACCCCCGTGTTTTTTC